AAAAAAAAAAAAAGACAAAAACAAAAAAAGCCCCCTCAGCAATAATCCTTACTTGGAGAACTAAAGTCCAGCTGGTCTAGAGCTGCTAAATGGTAAATTACCTGCCTTCTTTAGATGTTGTTCTTTTTACATCAGCTGATATAAACTTTTTTTTCCTGCATTTGTCATAGTCCCATTAGCAGCACAATTGTTTGTCATAAAAATGCATGTTGTAAGGGGCAGTGTGGCAGCAGCAGCCAGGTGCAGGTCACTTCTGCCAGGGCTGGGCCTTAGGCCCCAGGAACATGAAGATTTACATGTCACTCAGTGAGTAGTCAAGGAGGCCATGGGTCCTCTCCTTATAGAGAGTCACAGCTATGCCTAGCCAAAAGCATAGCTTTCTTCACTTATCTGATGAGCCTCTGTATTCCATGGCTTAGTTTCTACGTGTTAATGGCATCTATATGAACCATTAGCATGCAGCAATAAATTGCAGAGCTTATTGCTTCCCAGTTTATTGCTTCCAGGAACCTCCCGGGCATGCGGTTTACATATGAGCCTGGACTGCAGCAATGTTGAGCCAGGTAACAGCAGCCCCAGCTGGCAGGAGGCCTGGGGAGGTCAGCCTGCCAGCCCGGCGATATTTTGGCTGGACTCAATGTGCTGTGGAGGGGCTGGGGCATGAGGGTGCTTCAGCATGAGGCTAGGTGGGAGGCAGCACCCTCATGTCCCAACCAGCCAGCTCAGTGTCTACATGCGCACTACTGCACATGAAAAAACTACACAGCAGGGTAGGACTTGTAAATACTCTGCTGTGGAGTTTATTAGTTTTGTGTGCCCTAATAGGGGTGCATGTATAGATGCTGATATGTTTACTGCACAGTTAATTAGTTGACTGTGCAGTAAACATCTTGAGTTGATATGCCCAGTTAAGCAAATGGGCCAGAGTAATTCCTGGTATTACTTAATTGAACATATTATAAATCAGTAACTTTGCGGTTACATGGGGTGAACCTAGTCCTTTAAAACATAACAAGACAAACCTAGTCCTTTAAAGCATAACAAGACAAACCACCACAGTGTTGGTAGCTTGTAGTTGGCTATATACACCTTGGCTTTCCCCTGCTGAAATGGGGGAATTGTCTGAATTCTTCCCTGCTTTTTATGAATTGCTGAGGTTGGTCTGAGGGACTGTGACTAGATTGGTCTCTTCTGTGAAAATTCCCAGGAGGCTCTGCCTTCTCTTACACAAGCAGTTCCAAATGAATAAAGATCTCACTTCATTCACTCTACACAAGACACTAAATTGCCATAGCAATAAGTATGGTGACGTACTGTTGGAGAGCATGAACCGTGACCCCGACAGTACTGCACAAGTAGCGATGGGCTACTGTGCAGTAGGGTCAGAAACAACCCATGCACTACTGGGACTGTTCAGTAATGGCAATTACTGCATGGCCATTTAGTTCCTGCTAAAGCAAAAACCAAATGACTGTGCAGGAACAACTGCGCAGTTGGGCACATGTGTAGACGTGTGCACTGGAACTTAGGACCGTATAGGGGTGCAGTTAGAAATGCAGTTCCCAGCTGTAACTCAGAATGAGTTTTGCAAAGTGTTCTGAGTTACAGCATTGCCCCAGACCAAACAGAAGTTCACTGTTGGTTCCAGGGGGAGGGAAACCTAGCTACAGGCTCCCAGCCCCAGCTAGTTCCCATAGCAATGGCCAAGCTCTGCCAGTGCTCACTGTTTTCAGAATGGGAGGGGGGAAAGGCAGCAGAGGGAGCTGATTCTTGGGGCTCCCTGGCTGGTGCTGAAGGGTCGGATAGGTGAATTGGGGCCCCCCCACCTTGGGGGGGAGGAGTCTCTAATATACCTGCCCCACCCTCCAGGGGGGACTGAAAACCCCTCAGACTGAACTCCATCTGCTCTCTTTTTCCCCTCCCATTCTGAAAACAGGACAGGCTGCCAGCTCCATAGACGCAAGTTACAAAAAATGCTACATTTTTTAATATCTTTATCTGATGCTTCATGCAATGAGGCATTGGTGACGCATAGGGGGGACACGCGAGTACACCTGTTACTCTCTAAGATTGACCGTGCACCAGCTGCAAAACTGGAAGTGTCGGCGGAAATGCACTTCTGGTTTCGCCGCAGGTTGTTCTGGGTTTGGTGATCTGCTGCTGGTCACCTGACCCCCCTGACCCCCCCTTTGGCAGTCTGGTGCCCCCCCAGACTCGGGAGGCACCAATCACCCATGCAATGAGGGGTCAGATTTTCACCCAATCAGCCATTTTTTAAGCTGTTTGCAGCTGTGCATTTCTTTGGTCACAGCCATAACCTGCTTCCTGTGGGAAGATTGGGCGAAAATGGTCACTTCTGTCTGCACCTCTTCCTACTGAAGGTGTTACACTTTGCTTCAGGGTTAAGGTTGCATTGCAGTTTTCCTTTAAAGCTGAGGTGAACTCTCTTTGGTAAGTAACAACATCTTGGGTTACTCCTTTTTCATAGTTTGGAGCTTCAGGAACCCAAGTGTGTAGATATTTCTGCACCTTCAAAGAACAAATTACAGGTAAGTAATTTATCTTTTTGCCTAATCTACTGTATCGCCCACCATGCAGATACCAGGGAAATAATAGGAAGCCTACACTTATCCTGTCTGTCTGCTTCTACTTTAACAGTCTAATTAGTGTTCACTTCTGACCTGTTTCTTCCTCTGCTGTCTGTTACAGTCCTTGAAGGCCACAGTGGGGTACTAAACAGTAATAGAGGGAATCTACACTAAGGTCGTATCATCTCCATACGATTGGTCGGAAGCAAGGTGATTGTCACTGCTTTCCTGGTGAAGAATGGCTTTTGGGCTTGGCACTCTCTGCTTGTTGCTGTGGGCTATGACAGGTAGGAGTTTGCGTTGTTCTCTGTATGTGACTCAAGCATGAATGCAAGAAGTAAATGTTACTGATTTCATTCTTTTTTTGTTTGAGGGTAGACTGAAAACAAGGGGCTGTTGTCATTCCTCAGTTAGGGGGCTGTTGTAATGTAAAAAGCTTTGCATTTGAAAGACTAAAATGAAGACGCATGCTTCTATAAGGGCTGTTCAAAATTGATGGCTGTACGGACAAATTATGGCCACTCAAGAAGGGGTGCACAAGGCCAGTGCAAGTGAAGGAGGCTTAGAAACCCTTCCTACACTAGGACAGCTATAATTTAGTTGCAGAAGGTGGGGAGTGTAAAGGGAAAGGAATATCTTTGGATATACATCAGAAGAAGCGACTGTACCTTGTGAAGCAGGGTCTATCTGCCAGCGTACTCCTTTGAAAGACGCAATGCCTTGAAAAAGTAGATGCCTCCAAGCATCATTGCTTTTGCTATACAGTATGATGTCTCCCTTATACCTCCTGAAGCCTAATCAAGCTATTAGTATAAGAGAAACAAAGGTGCCCTTTTCAGGATATTTTTAAAGATGCAACATAGGGAAGGACCCCTGATTTGGATAGAATATGGCTTTTTAAAGTTTTAAAATGATAAGAATTCTTAATGCTGCCTCATCATGTTTTGATCATTTAACCTGAATACTGGCAGTTGTAGCATGGCCCTGAAAGGCATAAGTTCAGTACGCACTTATGCACATGCCAAGGTCTTATTTTTCCAGGGGGCAGTGCCTGGAATTCTGACTGGGGAGATACCGGCAGAATCTCCATTACTGACTGATTCAAGGCAGTAATACGGAGTTATTGGGATTCCGGTCTCTTGAAGTGTAAACAGGATTATATGTTTAATGAAATAAATTCTTGCTAATATATCTAGACTTTTAGACAGCTGAGTTTGGAAACGGGAAGACATTTATTCTAGGATATTTGGCAGCTGTGTGAAGATGAGTGTTTTTTCTCATGTAGATAGTATATGTTTTATAACCAAGTACCTGATTCATGTATCACACTAGTTTCCTTTTATATATGGAATAATGAACCTGGTTCATAAAGATTGTTACAAAAACTATAGATATGTAAGGGCTTATTTTTATAATTTTAATGATTTGTTAACAGACTAAAAAATCCCCAGTAGGCATTTTGGAAAGGCTTGTTGGCATTTTGTTTTTGCTTTGTCATCATCTTTTGATTTTTCCCCCCCCCCCCCCCCT